CAGCCAGGGTTCGACGTAGAATCAACGACGACGTTAAAAGGCAAACGAAGAGAGTCGAATGCGACTAGTAAATCCCTCGCGTAATCACATGGCATGATCATTTTTAGAGAGGCAGAGAACATCATAAATAACACCACTACACATAACACATCACCAGCCAATCCAGAAACAGCGTCACAAACACAGTCAACCATGCGAGGAGGTCTTGAGGAGTAAATCGCACCCCCATATGTCGTTAACTTTCGCTTCCCTCTCGAGCGTTGTACTGCAATCGTTGCCCATAAGGTGTCGAACGGTCACCGAAACGTCCTCTTGCACAGCCGAAAGTCGTAAAGCATCGAGGCCCTCCCCAGAGCGGCAGATCTCAGTAGATGCGTTCCACAGCCACGACAACGACCTCAACCGTGACAGCGTGAGCTCCTTAGTGACTCTTGCGACTTGCATAGCAACAGCGAGCTGAGGGCCGAAGGTGGGCTTCTCTATGATTCGAGATTTGGCGGCCAACTGGAGTGCATCAAGCAATAACGCGTTGTCGTCCATAGCCCATCCAGGAGTACATAATGCATATGCGAGACACACAAGGGAGTGCTGGTCTGACTTCGGCAAGTTGGACTTAGCCAGTTGCAGTAGCTGTCGTCTATGATGACCCTCGATAGTGTTCACCAAGTCCAGCCGAGATATCGCCAAGAGTGTGCGTGCGAGAGAAGCAGGATCTGGTTTTTCACACGACATAAAAGCACCAAGCAAGACCCCACACAGCAGTGGAACGTCTCGTAACAAAGCCTTCGCATAAATGCCCATCAGTAGTGAGAGATTCTGTGGCGATCGAAGTTGGCTTCGGGGAATGCGATGAAGACGTTTCGAGCACTCCATCAGAATGGAGTGGTCGTTAATACCACAACTCACGAAGAACTTGCCGACACACGCGAGCTCTGCGATGGTCATCTTGTCAACAGCAGGACTTATAAAATAACTCAAGCGTTTGACAATATCACTCTCGGGGACAAAGTTCGCCTTTTCGAAGGAATTCAAAAGCATAACCAAATCCTTCGCTTGCATGCTTCTAAGGCTCTCGTTGCTTGTCAACATTGGCGTCACAAACTCAAACACTTTTTCAACTATGGGGTTGCCAGAAGGATAGAGCCGCGATAAAGAGTAAATTATAAGGGACTGCTCGTGTGGGTTCATTTTCACAAGCACTCCCGCCACATTCTCAGTTGATAGCAACGAATTCACACAAAACTCTTCCACAATCTGCAAAGTCCAGGGACGAATTTTTAGCTTAGCACAGGCGTGCAGTATCTGAAAACCATATTAATATACACAACTTAGATGAGTTACTCTCACATTGGCGATTCCCTGTGGAGACAAGTCATTTCCAACTCGAGGGAGAACACTGCAGATCAGTTCTTCACACAAGGCCAACACACACTCGGGCACCCCGTCCTTTGAACGCTTGTTCTCATCAGCCAGCACCTTCGCCACTGCATTCACGGCAAGCGATAGATCTTGTGGTACTAACTCGGCAGAGTGCTCCACCAGAGCCTTCAGCGAGCCCCTTATCCAACCGCAAGAATCAGAAGCTCCTGTTCTCGTTAGTGTGTTCATAGTTAGAGTCGCTTGACGAACGGGCATTTTACTGGCGTGTACGCGGAGCCAGCGGCCTACGATG